CTGGAGTCCTGTTTGGGTTTCTTCTCTGCTTTCAGGAAGGCCCAGTTAGGATATCCACATTGCTCTAGAGCCTGTCTTGTGTGGGATTTCTCCTTCTGCCTGGCTCCTGAGTTAGTGGAGATGCTGTCTGCTCTGTGATACAGAGTCCTGATGACTCCTAACTTGTGCTCCAAAGGGTGATGGGAGTCAAACTGCAAATACTGGTCTGTGTGGGTGGGTTTGCGGTACACCTCAGTTTGCAAATGTCCTCTATCAGAGACTGAGACCTCACAGTCCAAGAAAGCCAACCTGCCATTTTTTACATCTTCTCGTGTGAACTTGATGTATTTATCCACAGAGTTGATGTGGTCAGTAAAATGTTGGACTTCCTGAGATTTAATTTTAACCCAGGTGTCGTCAACATACCTGAACCAATGACTTGGTGGTGTCCCTGAAAAGGACGTCAAGGCTCTCTTTTCTACCTCCTCCATGTACAGGTTGGCAACAATAGGAGAAACTGGAGACCCCATAGCACACCCATGTTTCTGCCTATAATATTGCTCCCCATATGTGAAGTAGGTTGACTGCAGGCACAGTTTCAAGAGTTGACACAGTTGTTCTGTGGAAAGCGTGGTCCTGCTGCTCAGAGTGGTGTCTGATGTTCATCTTAAACTGACCACCTCTACTGCATCATCAACAGGAATGCACGTAAAGAGTGATGTGACATCAAAAGAGACCATTGTTTCATCAGTCTCCATGATGACATCCCTAACCTTATCCACAAAGTCCATGGTGTTCTGTATGTGGTGTTCTGAGCTGCCAACTAAAGGGATGAGTACAGACGCCAGATATTTGGAAACATTGTAAGTGACAGAGTTAATCATGCTAACAATTGGTCTTAAAGGTACACCTTCTTGTGGATTTTAGGTAAACCATACAGACTAGGTGTGGCCTCCCCTGGGTACAGTCTGTGGTACAGAATACGGTCAATAGCCTTGTCCTGCTCCAAATTTTTCAGGCAATCTATTAACTTCTTCTTGTAATCACTTCCTGGATTTCTTTTCAGAGGTTCATAAGTGGTTAAGTCACTAAGGAGTGTCATAACTTTCTCATGATAGTCTTTCTGGTTCAAAATCACTGTGCACCTTCCTTTGTCTGCTGGGAGAATGATGATGTTTTTGTCCTTGCTAAGAGTGGTGAGAGCATCCCTCTCCTCTCTACTGATGTTGGAAGGTGGTGGTTTGGCATTGCTGAGGCAGTATGAAACTTTGATTCTGAGCTGTTCTGCTTCAGCCTCTTTCATTTTGTTGTTGCGGATGGCTGATTCTGTGGCTGTGATCATCTCCACCAGAGGAATTCTACTTGGTGCAACCGCAAAGTTCAGCCCCCTGGCAAGAATCTCTGTCTCCAGCTGGGTGAGCTGTCTGTCAGATAAATTCTTCACCCACTTTTCTGTCTCCCTGGCATGTAATTGACTACTGGAGTGTTGTCCTACACTGAATGTGTTGTTGTTAGAATAGTGATGGTGTTG